CTAGAATTGACTATTCTTGTCTGTCACATACTCTTCTTGTATGTCACATACTCTTCTTGTCTGTCACATACTCTTCTTGTCTGTCACATACTCTTCTTGTATGTCACATACTCTTCTTGTCTGTCACATACTCTTCTTGTCTGTCACATAAGTGGCGCAACTGACGCGGTATTGTGCTAAGGGGAAATTATTTTGACCGGACATTTTGACCGGACAGATTTAGATTTGCCGGTCTTCAGCATATTTTACCGGTCATAGTCCGGTAATTACCAGCTAACGGGAACTCTGATCTGACCTCAGTCATGATATTTTTGTCCACAGCAAGTGCACACACCTTCACCAACAGCAGAACGAGCTACAGCAATCAGACGGATTCCCGTCAAGAGAGAACAGAAGAACGGGCAGATGTACGTTCATAGGATCAGATCTTATCTCTAATAAATATATCAACATTTTATGTCGAGAAATGTACATTGTAAATGAATGTGCACAATCGACATGCTATATTATAGGTTTTTGAAAATGAAGTGCTTATTGAACTGTGTTTTCCTCCAGGGTGGTTTCTCTATGTTCATCCAGCTGATGCCCATCGTGGTCCTGATTTTAGTGTCAATACTGAGCCAGATGATGGTGTCCCCTCCACCCTTCAGCCTCTACTCTAGACCGTACGTACACACACACACACTCACACATGCATACACACTCACACATGCATACACACTCACACATGCATACACACTCACACATGCATACACACTCACACATGCATACACACTCACACTTATGTTTTTCATCGCTGAGGCAAATGTGCTTGTTGCTTGCACATGAAGGTAGCTAACAACATCAATCCGTAGAACTAATCACAACATGTAATGCCATGATTACCTGTTAATGAGGCTGTTTGAAAACAAGAAGTCTTCACCCTTAGACACTTTTTCAACCATGTGCTATGAGCACTTGTCCCGGTTTCTCACTGAAACGTGATGCTGTAAATCACCATCTGTATTCAGAATATGTGGGGAACTACCACAGTTGACAGCATTTTCCCACCAACTTGTTCTTCCTCTATCTGCTGCAGGTCCACGGGTCAGACAATCAAACGGCAGACAGAGAACCTGCATGTGGATTACTACGTCGCTAGAGATTTCAAGTCAGAGTTTAGGGGCTCAGCGCTGCACCAGATTGAGAAAAATGTGGAGGAGGATTATGTATCTAACGTCAGAAATAACTGTTGGAAGGAGAGACAGACAAGTGAGTAACCATGGTTATAATACACCCTCAGAACAAGCTCACTGGGTTTAACAATGTTGTATTCATCACTGACATTGTTTTCTGCTTCTCTCATTAGAAACAGACCTGCTGTATGCTGCGAAGGTGTACAGGGACGACCGGATGCGCAAGAAGGCAGAACTTATGACCATGGATAACTGCAGGGAGCTGGACAGACTAAATAACTTATTCAGAGGAGGATGAGTTTGTGACTTTTAGATGATGTAAATGTATATGAATAGATGTTTATGTTCATGTTTTTCTAAGGAAGAGTCTTTACACTAGGAGCAACAACGTACTGAAATAATTTAGCTCTAATGTTGAAGTTTTGAAATGTCCCTCTCCTCATATCCCTACACCAACTTCCTCATTCCAGCCTGACCCCAGGAAACGCCTTTAAACGCATCTTATTGAACCAATCCACACTTCTACTGCAGTAGAACGCCCCAGACCTTCGTTGTTGTTGTTTTTTTACTCTGTTTTTCTTGCATTTTCCTGGAAACAAGGTGGACAAGGACACTTGATTGTAACGGCATGTGCTTTGAGTAGAGAGAACCCAAACAAACCACTGTCATAAAATCAACTAACGGCTTTCGACATCATCTGCTTGACGTAAATATAAGATGAGAGACTTTATGGCTTCATTTAGGGGTGCGGTCCACCAGGCATTTTGTGAAGAACACAGGAACAAAAGAAGAAATAAAGAAAACACAACGCTTCTTCTAGCTTCCTACTCACCTCCGATTGCGGATGAAGATCAGTGGATCATGAAGAGATACCTGTGATTTTGCTACTATAGAATATTTTATGTCTTCATCCTCAAAATGTGTAGTTGGTTGGGACTAATCACAGAAGGACATTGAAACTGTTATTCATAAATGGTTGTACATTTTCATTTTTGAATGTTTGAAGTTTATGCAGTTATTTAAGAAACTATGGAAGAAACAAAGATTTTCTTCATTGCTCGCCTAATCATTTAAATAAAGTAAAATTATTACCATAGACTTGGTGTTTTCTTGTCTCTGATTCAGATGTCAAAGGTTCAACTCTCTTGATTTTATTTGCCCATGTCTTGTCATTTCTGAGATTTCACAGTAACTAGTATCGCTCATATTGTTTTAACAGATTATGTTTAAATCGTACATAATTAAAATAAACATAATTTACATAAGGGTTATAGCTTACTAGAACAGAAATACAAAAATGTATAAAATGCAATTCTATTGAGTGATCAAGGCTTTGATACATAAATCCCTTTTCCATGGTGGTTTGTTTTATTCGGGTTGGTGTAAAAGAAAGACCGAAAGATGTATCTGCAGGCACAAATGCTGCATGATATGGCATTAGTTTCGGATCACTTCCATATTGTGTTGTTGTATAAACTGAGTAATTTAAGTACAGAGTTTAGTTCCAAGATGAAATGATTATAACTAGGAAGGGATTAAGAAAAGTTCTTTGTGAATTAAAAAGTAGACCAAGTTTTTGTGTCAGTGGATAGGCCTATATCACACACTCAAAGTACATTTTACATTGATTCTATCTCATGTTTGCTAACTTTAACAGAAGGACAATTAGCAGCTGTTTTTTTTTGGTATAATTACTTATTTATTTTAAAGAGTACATTCAATAGTTTTTAGATAAAGATACAAATACATATCAACCCATGCGTTTTGTTGGTGAACTATGTTAACGTACAAATATTAAATATTACAAAATGGTATTATTACTTTACTGACGTTGCAACACTTAGTCATAATCATGATTGGCTTATCGGTGGTCATGTGACAGCGTCAAACCCGGAAGCGATATGCTACAGCAGGTAAAGTGCTAACTGATAGTTGTCCAAGCTAGGCAGTGGAATGAAAACAACCAGAATTGAAACTTAAAATGCCATCAAGACTGCTTTTTGCGGAATAGATCAGCTTAAATTAAACCAATGTGCCGGGGAAACGCTTGTTTCTGACGTCTAGTGGACAATGCGTTACCACATGTTTGTTTTTCTGTTGGGTTTATTGTATTGTGGAAGTCTACCATGGGTGTCTGCCTGCCAACAAGAGCCAGAGACCCCAGACTGGAGGATGACTCTGAAAACTATCCGCAACGGAATACACAAGATTGACACGTACCTGAACGCAGCACTGGACTTGTTTGGTGGCGATGACGGGCTGTGTCATTATAAGTGTAATGATGGTAAGCCACCTTCTTTTAAATCTTTCTTCCTCATTGTGAAACAATTCATTTGTCAAACATAACATTATCAGTGGCTGTAGTTCATTTAAGAAGGCCAGGACTCTTGTATCCCACTTCCTGGATCTCTGGCACATCTAAAAAGGATGGTATTCATACCTGTGCTTTTCTCTGCTATTTAAAGTGAATAAACCAACATCAGACAACAATAAAAAGGGAGGCAAACTTAATCAATGTTGAGTTTATGCAACTCTTCAGAGCTACAAGATATACAGTATCACTCCTTCAGCTGCACAGTAGGCCATTACATCATGTTGTACTGATGTGGTTATCTGTGTCAGTAAGATAACTGACAGAACAGAACATGAAACATCGTCACCTTTGCTCCTTACAGGTTACAAGCCTGCACCTCGTCCTGGTTACAAGAAACCACCTCCCAACGGATGTGGCTCCCCGCTGTTTGGATTTAAGGTAGTCTCACATTATCACATTGAGTTTCCCAGATTTGTAAAGGGAGGTCCTTTCACTTCTTGGAAAAGCAAAACTGGTTATATAATGTGATTCCTAATGACATGTAAAAATGACATGTAATGTAAACAGCAACTCAAACTGCATATTCTTGTCGAGTGAATGTAGCCTAATATTAAAGTGTTTTACCTTTCTACCATGGCCCTGGCTGATAGGTAACACAACAGTGTATGTTATAATACAACATTTGTCATAATTCCATAAATTGTAAACCTAAAACTATATAATGTTTATTCTTCAAGATGTAGGCTACTAATTATTTTTATATGTGGAGCACAACACTTTAATAACATTTTAAAGGGTCGTCATCAAAAATATTCATTGATGTTATAAATATGTTTGTATCAACCAATATGTTATCAGAATTCAAACTCTCAAATATTGATATCGGTATTGGGCTAAAAAATACAGCATTAGCCTGGCTACATTAAAAATACTGAGAGATAACATGTCACACAGAACGATTTTAAAAGCAATGGATCAATCAATCAATGTTTATTTATATAACCCAATATCACAAATGTTACCTTTGTCTCAGTGGACTTCACAGTTTGTACAGAATATCAGTATGACAACACGACACCCTCTGTCCTTAGACCCTCACATCGTACAAGGAAACACTTCCGGGGGAAAAACCCACAGTTTAAAGGGGAACATGGGAGAAACCTCAGGGAGAGCAACAGAGGAGGGATCCCTCTCCCAGGATGGACAGACGTGCAATAGATGCCGTGTGTAAATCGAAAAGATAATACATTTACAGCATAGGTAGTCCAAATGTTTGGAAATGCATGTGTCTATAATAAGAAGATGAATCCACGAGAATGTCAGCAATGTTGTGGGAGCCATCAGGGAAGTAGTATGAGGAGAGTCAGGCAGGACCGCAGAGACAGGTTCAGCCACGACTTGAAGTCCAGGACTCAGATCCTGTGCTCAGGATAGAGGATCCAGGACACACGAACACAGCAGGATTAGCCTCGACTCAGGATCCCGGCGTATATATTGACACAAACAAGAGATTTGGGGGAAGCTGGGTTAATCGGAACATGAGAGTACACAGGTACAAACAGACAGAAAGACGGAGTAAGGTGCCCCCCC